TTTAACATTTTCTAATGGTGGTGTGCCTCGTGATTTTTTTCATGAAAAAAGTGTGCCTTTGCACAAACAAGGTTGAAAAACACTGGACTAGACAATGTCGTCTGGCGGCTCCTTGGGGGAGGGCCTTCTCTGTAGCTGCCCCGGCCCTATGGAACGATCTACCCCCAGAGATCCGGACCCTGCCCACTCTCTCAGCCTTCCGTAAGGCTACTAAGACCTGGCTGTTCCGGTAGGCCTGAGGCTGTTGACCTCATGACTGAGGTCCAGCCCCATTAAAATTGAGTGCATGATGCGTTTTTTTTTAACCTGCTTCTTTCTGATTTTACATTTTTTGTATTCTTAGAGTTATTTTTATGTAAGCCGCCCAGAGTCCTTTGGGATTGGGTGGCATATAAGTTCATTAAATTTACAATTTACAATTTACAAATAGAAATGGAGAAAGTACCAACGCCTGTGAAGACCTATAAAGTAGGGGCTGAAAGTCAAGCCTCTGGGTTCCATTCTTGAGATGTCATCAAATGCAAGAATTGGAGAACTAAATCAGTTTGCTTTTGTTTTATCAGGATAAAACGAATTTGCTGGCCTCAGATTCCACATCCTGTAATAGCAAGTTGTCCTGCTGTATCTCAGGTAAGGATTGATTTTTGCTGGGCCACCAGGCTGTGAGGAAATGACTGTGATGGTCCAGAATTTTCCCTAGTCCTAATGCAACGTGAATCTCCTTGGTGTTGCAGCCATGGACTTTACTTTGTCAAATCTTCTTCATCTCTGATCGTTCAGAGCCACTACTATTGGAGATAACTGGGGAAAAAACATAGGCAATTTTGCATAGAAAAAATAACTAAGTGTAATGTGAACTGTAATGTGAACTATACAGCTAATAGCTAAGTGTAATGTAAATCACTGTAAATGATGAGCCTCCAATTCATTTTTAACCATAACTATCACAGTCTGTAAGCCACAATGTGTCTCTTGTCAGCCCTTGAGATGTGTAGCCATGAGATTGGATCCATTAGAAAATAGCCCCTAACCAGGGATGGGATTCAGCTGGTTGGATCAGTTTGGGCGAACCGGATGTTAATTCTAATCTGAGAATTTGTAAATGTGTTTTTATTTTTCCATTTTCATTTCGTACAGTCACATATATACTGTGC